TCATTTTCGGATTTTAGATTTATTTTTTCCTGCTGATGATTTTCATGTTGTTTCTGCAGTTTTCAATTTTTCTTTTGTGGCTTCAAGTTCTTTATATGCTGATGATAGTTGTTTTGATTTTTTCTTCAGCGTATTCAATTCTTGTATTATCCTCAAAATCACACTGTCAGAGTTGCTGTGTCGCATTTTATAATGTGGAAGATCAAATCAGCAGATTTTTCAAGCATCGAATATTTTGGCAAGTATATATTACAATCAAATTCATTTGCCCCCTGTAGATCTTCATTCTTTTGCTTTGCTTTGGATTCTTCATATTTGGCCCCATTTGTTTCATTAGGAAATTCATTTTCAAGCAGGATTTGTTTTGGCAATGTTTCATTAGAATAAGATGAGGTGGATTTTGGCACTGTCTCTTCACTACTTTTTGTCATATTTCTATAGTTCATTGGTGTATTCCATTTTGACTGTCCAATTTTGTGTAGCTTTTGTACAGGTTTCTTGCCAGTTTCTTGAATAATAGTTTATTGTCTGTTGAATTCTTGGTAATCAACCTTTTGCCCACCTCTTTTCTCAGTTTTCTTAGCCTTTTTCAACTCTTTACCAAGTTTCAACATCCCACTGTTTATAGATGGACCAAAGATTGCTCTAGATACAGTACTTAAAATACCAGTTGATTTTGATTTGGTGAGGTTCTTTTGAGGTGTTAGATTAGGACTACTGATAGGAGATGGTGACAGAGGAAGTGAATGATGCTGTGTTGAGCCATTTACATTGGTGTTGAGGTTGTTGGAGCTTGAGGCAACGTGGTTTGCATTTTTTGATCGGTCGTTGCATTGTTACACTCTGACCGTTTTAAGTTACATTTAATATGCTCGAGGACAGTGTCGAGCCATACCCTGCATCCAGTTCCTTGGATCAACATTTTCATTGTTTTGTTATATACTATAATAACAACTTTCTTGTTTGATGGAGTTATTGTTGTTGTTAGCCCAGTATTGTCCTTTGTAGGTTCTAATTGATACATAGACTTTAAAATTTGAAGAATTTTTGCATGTGTTGATTGTTGAAAAAATGTAATAGAAATATTGTCACTTGTTGGGCTGACATACAGATCAAACAGATTATCAACTGTTAAGTTGTCAGACAAGTCATAGTTTGAAAATCCTACAAAATCCTCCATATCCATTGTATTATAAAACTTGCAGTTCACATACAAAATACACATCAATACATAATTGTTTCATAAATAACTAAAGGGAATATTAATTTACCTGTTACCTAGTGACCATAAAACATTTCAAAAGGTTTTCTTTTCTTCCTATACTGCCTTAGAGAAACAATGTTAATTAAACATTTATGTTATACAATTATAGACAATGTACCTGTGTTATATAATAATGATACCATACAAAATATTGGGTACTTCACACTATATTACAGCCACTGATAACAATATAATGGACCTTTAAAGACATGGCAAATCAATATGGCAATAATCTGCACTGTCAGCATTATGTTATTTATGTTATAGAAGCATGCCACAATGTTCAGGTACATGTATACCCCATGTAAAACAATCTCTGTTTACAACTAAGAAACCTTCAGAATTTTGCAGAGAATGAATCCTTTCAAATTCAGCCTAATCTAAGTTATAGACAGATACTGATTGCTGATATAGGTCAAATCTGTAAAATCAGCTTAGCATAAATATATTTCTAGGAAATGTGATACAAAATAGAACATATAAAGAAAAACAAGAATAAAACAATAACTAAGTGGCAAATTCAACCTTAATATTACAAGACTGTGACCATAATAAACATTTATATATTTTTTGCTGAATATGTTCCTGTTATCATTTTAAGGGAGACTTTGAATGTTAAGTATTGCACACTTCATTTTACAAAAAGCAAATTTCTGAAGGATATTGTTACTTGTTTCTTGCTTTTATTTTAAAAGGCTAGTGAATTTCAGAAACTTATAAAAATACACTAATTTGGGACAAGAATGGGACTGAAAAATTGTGAAATGAGGGCCCTGAATTATCTAAAAACTTTCTTACCTGAACAGTTTTTTAAAACAAGAACTTATGATGGCAATGAAATAAGAATGATCTTTTGTGACATTTCAAATGCATATGACCTTGTCTGGCATAAGGGTCTTATGAGTAAACTTTCATCTAATGGTATTCACGAAACAATACTTCAGTGGTTCTACTCATATCTTTCAAATAGACAACAACAACTTATTATTCGTAACTCTTTATCTGATTGGTGCCCTGTTGCAGCTGGCACCCTGGCCCACAAGGCCTTATCCTTGGACCTTTGCTCTTCCTGATTTATATAAATGACATTGTTTAAATTGTCAATTCAAATATAGGTCTCTTTGTATGTATGTACATGTATGTATGTATTCTAGTTAATGAGGATCCATCACTGTGAGTACTGACCCCGATAAGTCTCTTTGCTGATGACACTAGCTTATATCTAATTGTTGATACATGAAACACTACAGCATCTTAACTCAACATTGACTTACACAAATTTCATACATGGGCAACATCATGGTTAATAGGCTTTAATCCAAACACAACAGAACGTTTTATTTCTCTCATAAAAGAAATAAACTTATCCTGCTTTTAAGATTACCAATTCAAAATTTCAACCAACATCAACTTACCACCATTAAGACAAATGGCAAACATATATTTTATTGACTGTCTCAAAAGTAAGAAAATGCATTGTAATTCTAGTCACTGAAAATTTTACTTAAAACTATCTTTTTTTACTTTAATTAGACCTTTTTTGAATATAGTGACATAGTATGGGATAGTTGTACACAAGCAGAAAAACAAAGTATCAAATCTATCCTAATAGAAGCTGCAAGAATAGTCGCTTAGTGCAACTGAACTATGCAATATAGAAGAGCTGTATTATGATTTAAAAGTGAAAACTCTTCAAAAACAAAGTAAAAAACATAAACTGATAAAATTTTAAAAATGAAAAACAATCTTAACACCTTAATACCATTCTCACCTTATACCACAACAAACACAGGGCTTTTTTTCACAGGTTGGGGAAGCAGCCCAGCCCTTAATTTTGGGGAAAAATTACATGGTATATTTGCAAAAGGGGAAGAAAAAACTTGATGTAAATTCAATTTTTGGGGAAAACTGCATGATTTTAAAGAAATTTTCTTTGGGGAAGCAGCCCTATACCGGCCCCTGTTATAGAAGGTAAAAAGGCCCTGAAACAAAAACTTGATATCAACTTTGAAATACAAATGATATTCCAAACATTCATGCTAAAACTCAACTATGTAAGTATCAGTACTTATTTCTGCCTTAGAACTGTTATTAGAGATTGGAACACTCTTACACTGTGAAATCCAGCCCAATTCTTAGCAACTTCAAAGCAAACTTAATACCAATCTCAGTAAACCGCCTTTGTATTACCTCATTGGCTATACACAGGCCCAGTTAAGACAGAATCTATTATGATGTAGCTCGCTTAATCATGATCTCTTCAGCAAATCTATCTCCAATTTTGATATGCAAATTTATTCACATAATGTGCTGGTTCTTACTTGTAATGTCTAATACTGTGCATTATCCATTTAATTGTTCCTACTTTGCACCAAATGTCCCTTACCACTGTATATTGACGAATTTTATTGCCCCTTGTATGCCTCTGTGTAGACAGCATACATCAAAGACACTTGCCGACAGACCTTTTGATCATGAACAATGCTCCCTGATTGGTTAATCACCCTGTCAAATATTCTGATGACGAAATAGACATTTTTTTTTTTACACTTCATCAGCCAAAGCTTGCGTGAACTTGAGTGACCTTAGGGGTGATCAAGTTGTACACCTGTCAGATTATTCTGTAACTTATAGCATTTCTTAAAATAGCAACTTTTTTTTTTCAGTTACCGATAATCATTTTAAATATTAAGTAGTTGTATAATTTGTTTGTTTGTTTTATTTGATTAAATTTACGGTAGTAGAAATGAGTATCTGTGTGGGAAAGGGATTATGAGAAGTGCAGTAAGTAGATAACATGGACAAAAGCTATAGGGGAATGGATAAACTCAAGAATATGCGTAATTACAGGGGAATGGGTAACATGTTGCTGTTGGTACCAGTTTTGACTGGATGACTAAATAACCCAGCAGACAGTTTTGTTTTCTTATAAGTCTGGCACAGATTTCAGATGCGCCCATGGCCCTTTGCTGCCGATTTTCCTGCCCCATTCTCATTTTTTTAGCGCCAATGGCGCAAAATCGCATCCTCGGCAGATCTCTGCTATTTACATTACATATATTTACCCTTTTCACTTAACATTACTTATCAAAGTCCAGCCATTAATTTTCCAACAGAAACAATAACACTTGTATGATATTTGTGAATATTGAAGATTTATATCCTTCGATAAATATTGTATAAACGAAAAATACGGGTACTGCTTCTGTACGGGAACTGCTCACATAAGTATTGAAGATTTATATCTTATTACAGTATAAATATTGTTTGTACATGTTACATATAATTTTGTGATTAAAATACTCATTAAAAAACTTAAACAAAAATAACAAACCCTTTTTCCATTATATATTCTGAATAAAATGCCTTAAAAGTTAAACACTGTTTCTATATCACTTTATTTATCTTTCATAATTCAGAGTATAGAAACACTGCAGAAATGAAATCTTCACCTGTTCTCTTAAAAGAGATGTTTAAAATACGTTAAACCGTATAATCAAATAAATTACGTCATATTTATGTCAGTAGACAATACATTTATCCAGAATAGCTTACCATGATTTAATTTATCATAATAAAGATTTTACACTTTTCGATCCCCACCCACATAGATTCTCTATTCAGTAAATTTTCCTGGTTTCCACTTCGAGCGGATCAAATGTAAAATCTTTGGATACGTAAGAGAAATGAAAATTCCATGATAATACGAATTACAAAAATAATATCATAAGAATACCTTCGTAACATCAATTTTCTTGGAATAAAATATTTCTCAGTGGATGTAGACTTGTAATAAAGATGCGTAACTAAAATAGAACTGCAGTATAGTTGGAGTGACCTCCCTTGATAAGAGGCCCTGATTCGGGTTCATTCAAACCACGCAGCGGTTACCTACCCTGAATGTGCAAGGGTTTGGACTCTTTCTAGTTTGTTGAAGTCATAATCTTATCTGTGATTTTTCATGATTGCAACATGTGTCTTAACTTATATTATACAGTATAGTCTTAAGTCTATAATTTAGTTAATTTATATTAATCTTATAAAATGATATTTTATTTGTTAAATGGTAATTTGTTTTATGTAGATCTATGTTTATGTTCATGTAACTGTGATCTATGATGTTGCAAAAATATAACACTATCATTATGTCAGAGGAGCAGGGTATATGTTAATATGGTGGTATGTATATAGGGCTAAACAACTTAAAAACAGAGTGTAATCTTCGATAGAATGTAGAACGAATGTTTACATATATTTGATATCCAAAAGAAAATGACCTGCAAATCAAAAGAGTCATGATCAAATAGAGGAAAAGAAAGCACAAAAGTAAAAAAAAAATAATGAAAATGTTGCAGGTTCGGTGTCAGTCTTTTCATTCTTTACACTAAATATAAGGACAGTAGAACCAACTTTCTTATTTGGTTATGGTCGGACAACCTTTTAGTGACCAAGTTGATCATGACCTTGACCATTGACCTTATTACCTCAGAACCAGTAGGACTGATCTACTAGTCAAGACCAATCTCCACACTTAATTATATGCCTGTAGGCATTGGTCGGTCAAGCTTTGACAGGTCAAGGCTATGCTGACCTTTATCTTTGACATTTCTAAATCAATAGGGGTCACCTACATTAGTATAAGTCATGGCTTTTAATATTCTGTTTATATAAATTGTAATTGTACTCTAAATGTAATAGGTCTTGAATATGTTCCTCATTGATATAATGTCTCTTGAAATTCTTAAATAGAATGGTCGTATGCATGTTTTATCCGAAAAAGTTGTACATATGTGCATACGAATGAGACAAAAATAAGGTATGAATATGTATAACCAAACTTCACATATCAAAATCGACACGGGTTATCATCTACATGTAGTCATGACCAAATTCCACACCAATTCTTAGGCCAAAATCCCAAAGTGTTCTCTAGTTATTGACTGGACAATCTTTTATTTGTCAAGTCCATGAAGATATTGACCTTAGACTTATTAAACTAAAAATCAATAGGTTCATCTTCTAGTCATGGCAAACCTCCACACCGAATCATAGGGCTGTAGGTTAAGGCATTTAGTGTTCCTTTGACACCAAATCTATAGGGTTTTCTATCATGCTCTACACTAAATCTTATAGGACTGTAGGCCAAATCATTATATAGTTATTGACCAGACAATGAAGATATCACAAACGCAAGGACGTATAGAAATATGCTTCCACTTTTAAACTGGGGGCTTAATAAAGAGAAAGCCATATATATAAATAATCCAATCAAAACGCAATATTGTTGTTCTTTAGAGGGCTAACTAAACGCATTATAATCAAGTGATAAAAGTGATTTATAAGCCTTATAAATGTATGTATGAATCTGAAAAAGAGAGCATTTTTCTATAAAAATGCTTTGAAAAGTTACCCTTCCCTGAAATTGAAAAAGTGGCCAAACACCTCACACTGATTTGATTTGTTTTGTCTTCGTAATGAAGCAACCGGGGCCACTGCGTAGGAATATGACTTATTTCAAGTGTGAAGTGAATATAACTGACGATTTAGTGTTGTTATATTTATCTGGTCCTTCGGGATCATTGATGCCAGCACTATTAAGTGTTTAGAATTTAGTACCGCTCAAGCCGATGCTAGGGGGCTCGAGGGATGTTGCATATGTAATTTTGTTGTGATTAATGCTTCCGAGGGATCACTTCCAGATTTTTATAAGAAAAGGAAATATTACAAGAAGATACGGCAAAATGAAAAAAAAACAACTTTTAGGGTTATCCCTCCTTAAGGAATACAATCAAAGTGTTATTGTTCACTAATATTACAACCTCAACTGAAAGGTTAATCAAGAAATCCAAATCGACAAAGGAGCAAAAATGAATTATGAATTCTTAGTGAATAAGTAAACCAAGTTTGAAGTGAATACCTTTAAATTTTTTTGAGAAATGGACCTTTTCAAAAAGTTTAACCAAGGCAAAATGTCGAAATCGAAAAAGGAACAGATCTTTGTAACATATTTTAGGATGCGGTGAATCTGCCGGCTAGAAATAAGATGGTGAAATGCCGTGGGAGAGAGCGATCTCGGAAGGCTGTCATTGGCTCTCATTAGTCCACAAGTGCGTACCCTCGAACGCAGGCGTATTTATGAGCGATCACACATATGGACGAGATAAGTAGGTGCGTTCAGATCGCTCGATATATAGACGAGAGAGGATTTCTATGACGAATTGAATGCCATGTACACGCGCGCGCGTATAGAAGATAGTGAGCAATATCGACAAACTATAAATAATATGAGGATACAAGTCAGGGATCGCTGGGAGTGCGGTGTAATGAAATGTTGAGATAGAACGGTAATGTGCATAGGTATATATGGCGGTATGGATCACGTGAAGATTAGATAGGTCCTACTGTATGGTGGGTGATGTATAGACACTGTGGAAGTCCGCGGGAGCAAGCGCAATGATTACAACAGCCCTGTTTTTGTCCATTATTTCCGATCAGAGCTAAAACGACATAACTAATGGTCTTCCAGAGTGACCTTAAAAAACCTAGGTCCCTTTTACTGTGTTCTTCAGAGGGCATGTAAAAGAAAACCCAATGTTGTCTCTGAAACAGGACAATTACGCCAGCCACGAAACTAGTGCATTATAACGGGGGTGGAACCCCATATGTATCTCAAAAAATGAGCATCAAGTAAAAATTATATGTGAATTTCCGCTGCACCAGATGTGAAGCATAACACCAGATGTGACTGTAGAAAAAGGTCAATCGCAGGGTAAGTTTTCATCTTTTAAACATATATATAAATTTAATCCTATTTTTAAGAAAATCGAAATGTGATTCTACCTCCTGACTCTTCTCTATATTACCCATTTTTTGTTTTGGATTTCTATGCAGTTTTCATCGAGATATTCTTTCGACGTGGGTGGGGTCTGGTGTGTCCAAACATGGAATGTGAATGAAAAAAATGTCACTAAACGGACTCAAAAAAAACAGAGATTTTACGAAATCTCACTACAGACCGATGCTTAACATACAGACAAATCCTGATTTAAACATTTATTGAGATTTGGCTACAAAACAAAGGGAATCGCTGCTCAAAATTGCATTTGAGCTCCATATGTGCTGAAGAGATCAACAAGGCAAAGGCAACGTTCACAGGACGCAGCCCCTTGAGACACCCAAGCTACCACAGCAGGGCACCCTGAAGCAAATAAAGTGAATAAGAAGTTTTTACTGGACTGGAAAAAGTTCACAAATATACTTAGTTCAACCTCAATCTAATTAAATAAAAAAAGATGTTTCCATTGACGCAATCAACCTCAACCCAAATATAAACTTGTGTCGAGCGTGTAACTACATAATTATATAATATTTTAACACCGGAGCTACTGTGTAGCTACGGCATTTTCTGATTTAAAAGAGTTGGCCCATGAAAGTTCGGCTTTTCTATATGTGAAGGTTGTGATTTGCTGACTTTAATATGAGTCCGGCAAAAGAAGCGGGAGCACTTTAATTAAAGCTTCGGAAATTTCCAAAAACGCAAAATCGAAAAAAAATGTAAGTCCGACATTTTAAAGTGGAGACCATCGATATCAAATACCTATAAGGATGTGTGAATTAAAGTAAAAACAATATCAAGCATATTGACCACATCAATCGCAAATCAAATTCATCCAAGGGTAGAAGTTCATACATTTCGTACATTTTTTTTTTACCAAATACCAGTTAATACCTTCGATAAACTTGTTACATCTGCCTGGAACTACAAAGCTGAAACCTTAATCTGATTGTGACTCCGACATTGCATTGATTACAAGTATGTATTCACAAATTTCAAAATAACATAGAAACCCATATACCTGGACACATTTTAAGCTAGTTTGACAACAAGGACGCCATTACACCAAGTTTGCAACCATATTTCGCCCCCTTTAACCAAAAGTGAAACTCTTTACGCCTTCTCCCTTCGTTTCTTTGCTTGTCTCAACCAGACTTTTTCATTTGTTTTAAGTGCCGTTTGGAATGCTGAAAATATGAAATACACCAAAAAATATTTTAAGATAACATCTATCATTATATAAGACAGAATGGCACATTTTCATGATTGTGCCAATTCTTTTTCATGCATGTATATAAAAATGTGAACAATTTCCATAATTGCAGCGACATATTATTTTACATTTAATCTTATATATTTTAATAATAGATAGCAATATATATAAAAAGCATATACTAAATTATTCATTCTCATGAGAAGAAAGAACTATGTTTCCTGAAATTCACTAAATCCTAACAATAGTAAACTTCACCTAGAACTTCAAAGCATTCAGAATGAATGGACTGCGCCATCTTGATATTGAAAGTTTCACTTTTAGTTTAAATGTAAACAAAATTTATTGTAGCAGACGATAGAAAAACAGTACATTTGTGATCATTGATCATACGCAGAAAAGGTTAGTAACAAAATGGCAAATATGTTATTCCTCATCATATATTGTATCTCAAATTTAATATTTAAATGTTATTCCTGCTTGTTTTAATTACTTTTCTTTTTCGTTTTCTGTAAAAAACATAGTGCTCCCCCTTCCAATTGGCTGAGTCCATGCATGTTAATTCATCAGAAAAAGCATTGTATGGTCTATTCAAATGTTAATTGTCCTGTCCGTTATAGCCCGTTTCAAAATCAAAGCAACTAACGTAAATTGTACTACATGTAATGTGTTTTACGAATAGAATATAGAACGAAGAAAGCGAGTGTTAGAGAGAGCGACCATGGATTTGTTTTGAGTACACATTTTACAACAAGTTCATTTATTCGTTACGACAATCAATCTCT